TTAGAAAATTCTATCTAGGAGGTCGGTTTAGAAGGCCACTCTTAATAGAAGGCCACCCTAAAAAGTTTGATCCGACGGGACACAAGAGAAAGCCATGCCCTTCTATTCTGGGGGGGGGTTTACAAGCTCGTTTTCTTCTACAAGATCATAAACAGTCTATCACTAGCCTATTTGTCCCACTTGATACTATCACCTGTATTCCATAAGCATCCAAGAACAGCGCATGACAAAGACAAACTGCCAGCGATCGTAACGTGCGCCAAACCGTTTGAAAATGTATTTATACGTTTTATGATAATCAAATACACCCAATTATCAACCGATATGGAAAAACTATAGAACGATGAATAGTTTAACTGAAACTCAAAAAAGTGTCTTTTATTCAATGCCTATATTTTTTTCGTATAAATCCTATTCCGCCTGACGCTGATATTTTGTACTTTTCAACAGATTTGTAATTTACAAAATTGTTTAACACAGAAATGTGGGATTGCGGAGACGCTTTCGCAGAGAATACTTTCTACTTCATTGTCCATTTCTTAAAAATAAGGGTAAATAACTTAAAAAGTCTGAATATGTTATATTGCATGTTGATCCCCTGATCTATGATCTTCTTACTTTGATCATGACATGGCACCAAGATTTATATACGCTTGTTATAGAATTATGATGCAATATGTTTGTCAGCAAAACCATTTAATAAATAAAACAGAACTCAACCACTTCCTGTTATCTTTCTTTCTATAGTGTATCTGTCTTTTCATGTTTCTTCTTTTTTCTTTCTTTAAAAAGATAAATTATACTCAAAGAACTCTATTCTGTTATACTATATTGACCTGGTCGCATTGGACTCATCAACTTCTTACAGATTAGATCTCACTTTGCCAGATTTCTAGATTGAATCGAGTTGTGTGAGAATCCAACTACTGCCTGAGTCATTGAATAACGATACCCTAGAGAAAAACGAGCACTTTAGACTATTTTCGACAGCTTACTGTACTTTTCTGAAAAGAGTTCACAAGATGATCATCAGAAAGAGCATGCAAAATGCTATATTTTAATCATGAAATAAATTTTTTTCTTTTCTGTAATAGTCAATGAAATTGGACTTAGGAGACGAGACGTATTTTAGCTAAATATCTGCAATTTTAGAACAGAAATAGTAGCTCATCAGGTTTTTATGATGACCAACCTCGTTTTATGTTCTATCGAATGGCAAAATAATCAGTCTGTACCATTTTCACATTTGGCGTGTCAAGGTCTATAATGTATTGTTCTACGGAAACATATTGTCCCTGACTCTACCTGTTAAAAAGTACATGTCAGTTTTTCTTTAACATTTTTTCTAAATAGCGCCCAGCCCATCAATAGACTGAAAGCAATCTCTTTTATTGCTTTACTGGCACAAAAAATCCGCTTTTTATCGCACATCAGTCAGTCAATGTTCCTTGATTAATTCAGTATTTGATTGATATTTTGCTTCAATGTGTTTTATATTAATTGATTGAGGGTAAAGATGAGAGAAAAGTATTTTGTTTTTATTCTTTAAGCGATGTCTTTTTTCTATTCTCTTCCACATATATCCCAAACACAAAGAGCACAATTATAACTGAAACGAAGAAATAGTTTACTTTTTTTCCATTATTTATCTATTTCCTTTAATACATACTTCTTCTAGAACCAAAAATATATATATAGAAACGTGTGATTAAGTGCAAGGCCACAAAAAATAGAGAATCGTAGTTTAATCAGATTACGGATGAAAAGTATTTCGTACACTGTTAGGGACTAATCGAACACATGGAAAGTTAACTTCAAATTAAACAATCATCAGTGACATTTACTGCTGTCTATTGAAGAAATTGATTGTAAATTAATCATACAGTCACACATAAAAACTCGCCTTGCATTTTGAAGATGTCCTTATAGCAGAAATGCATAGATGTTCCTGTGTAATATTTTGTTCGACATCTCGATTTATTCCGACGTCATCATACAAGAGTAACCGTATTCTTGTACGGATACTCATAATTATTCCTTAATCAAATCAATAAAGCTATGATAAAAGATCTTCAGAACTTGTGAGTTCACTGAGTTTTAATGATAAAAATGCGTTTAAAACTGTCACATATCACCCAATACAGCGTAACAGAATCTGCCAAATGTTTGAAAAATTATACTGAATGAAATATATCTTTTCTAATAATTTCTTTGGAATCCTTCTAAAACTTGTGATCGCATACACAAGTCTATTCTGTCGTGCGTGAAAGTTTTTATCTAGTTCAAAAAAAAAATGATTTAGAACAAAATTATTCAATTTTTTACGATGTCGTTGATGATAAAAATTCAATCCATCAAAATCAGATTTATCTTTCTATCCTTCTGAAACTTTATTTCTTCATCAATCATTTTATAGAAAATTTAGAGCATTTATCTCGTATATAGCTTGTCTGTAGTCCCATCCCATACTTTCACAATAGAGAAAAATTGTAAATATTGATTGACGACACGAAATGTCCTTAATGATCTGTCATTTTTTTCAGCCCATTAGTTCTGATATCTTATTTATGTATAAAATGGTAGATTAGAAGGCGCTTTATCTAGAATTTGGCAGAACTCGTTTTGATAGAAATTCAATCTAATAATGGAAAGACACAGGACATCATACATAACTCACAGGCTGTTCAGTGTAAATAAATATCTTTTTATCTATAATCTCAGTTTGAGAAGAAAAAAAACGAAAAATCAATTTAGGAATGGATTTAACGAGAAATCATTTCGTTCTTTCTGCTGTCAGAAAGTACGGAAAGAAAATTTGCAATTATTGGGAGAAATAGGAGCATGGTTACACACAAAGTACAAATGAATATTAGAATTGCTATCTTTTAGCCTCATACAACACTTTTGCAACATCTCTTTATTACGTTCGTGTTTATCATTTTCAATAACAAAATTGAATTGTTTTACTATTATTAACCATTATCAACTGTTGGATTCGCTATTTTCTTAGCATTTCCTTGTTGTGTTATTGCCACAGGTTGTTTATTTTCTTCAACGGATGTTGAAACTGGTGGCGGCATACGTTCATTGACTCGATCTAATATTTTAGCTGTTGAAAATGGAATCTTCGGAGGCAAATGCTGTTTTAATAATTTTTCTGCTTCACCTTCACCATCAACTGGTGGTGCTATACCTTTTAAATTTAATACATTTTCGTGTTTTTCACGTAATGATGAATAAACTATGGCCATTTTACCTACAGTACGTATTTTATTTCGAATTATTTCACGACGACAGATATCATTATCATCAGATTCATCTTCCTTAAAAATATTTAATATACTTATTAATAATTCTGTTACTTTTTCACAAATAAATGGTAAACTCCACTGAAATACATCCATAAAATTAGGTAACCAATATGGATGTTCACTATGTTTAAATTGTTTAATATTCATAACATTATTCTTATCATATTGTAAAATAGCTGCTTTATTTTGATAAACATCACAATAATTTGGTGCAGAAAATATTGTCATTAATGATGGAAAATCACTACCAGTTTGTTTACGATACATTCGATAACCAAGATCTTGTGCTTCATGGGCACGTATTATAGTTATTAATGCATTACGTTGTAAAAAATCGTTAACTGCTTTAAATGTATAAAAATACGAACAACCACGTGCAGTATTAGATGAAAAATTTTCTTCATCATTACTATCATAATTTTCTATTGGATCACTCCAAAGTAAATCACACATTGGTCCATACGAGGGTGGCTCTTGAAAACGATCAATCTAGAAAAAAATAAATGTGTCGTTTTGAAACAGAAAAAGTTGTCTATATAGTTTTATTCTTATGAGTTAGGAAAGGTAAAATTAAAATTTTAATTATGCGAGGCGAGGAAACGGTGTTAAAATCCTAGACATCGAATCTTATACTGACTAGAGGCGTATAAGAAGCTTATATCACTTATATTCGTGTCAAGTACGACCCTTTTACGACTCTTATTAAGTTCGTATAGAGTATCTGGTCACGATTGTGGCAATTATTCTGGACGAGACTTATAGAAACTTGAGAATTACTTTATAAGAACAAGATCAGTGACCCATAATTTTTCATAGACTATTTTTAAAAAAGGGGCCTTCAAAGATGAGCTTCATACTCAAAGAGGAAGATGGATACCGACCTAATTCTTTTTTCATTGGATTAATCAACTCTTTAGCTTGATTTTTATCTATAATGCAAGAACTATGTGTTTTGTTTTATCTTCGAGAGAAGTGAAATACTGAGTGCCACTTTGTCATTTCGGGCCATTTTGTGACAACTGGCCTGCCATTGTAAAAGTAGCAGGACAAGTTTGAAGTCTCAATACCTGTACTACTCGAACTACTCTTTCATATGGCATATTAAGCCTAGATATTAATCCTGCGACTGAAGAGAAATACAAGGTCAAAGTTGGTTTATTGTAAGAAAGGCCGAAACTTAACATCGCTAAACGGGTATGTACAATATGATCTTTTTAGCAAACAAATGTAAGAGTCTGTGAAATTTTTGATGCACTACACGATGAAAGTGTTGAATTTTTTGCGGCTCTTATGTCATGTAATGGTGGGCGGACCTAGATGGAAGTGTCCTCTAACAAAATATCCAGTACGCTGTCCGTTGAAGAATCCCTTACATAATTATAAGCATTGTATACAATATTTATAGGAATCTAATAAGAAATTTTTTACCAAAGATTATGGATCATCGATCAAGTTCTTATCAAGTAACTCTCAAGTTCGTATAAGTCTCGTCTAGAATAATTACCACAATCTTGGCCGAATACTTATATACGAATTTAATAAGAGTCATACAAGGATCCGATTAGTATTTATAAAAATGATAGGTCTAGGGAAATTCATAGTTCCTTGACTGTTCGAGCATTGTAGAGTTAGCTCTTTTTTCTTGTTTGTTATCAGAACATTCTAATTTTATGCTAAACTCTTTCTTTTAAACTGCTCTAATATGTTCGATTATGACAAAATGTTATAAGTGAACATGGTATTTTCGAAATATTTAACATTTCTAGAGAACGTTACGTACTAAAGTGCGCTAGAACATTTCACACTTTTAGAGTATTAATAACTCTAAATAATAATTTATAAATTCATGGCCTCAATTAAACGATAAAAAAGATCATATTCATCACGCCTCTTTCGTTCATCTTTGAAAGTATAGTCGAGATCAGAAGCAGATCGCTCCTTTTACCCCAAGCAGGAGAGGAGATAAACCGATGATTCTCGATATATTACTTTTTTTTAAAAATCTTATGAGATACTCGCATTTTCTTACTCAAGAAAACGCCTATTTAGCGTATAAAAGACTTAGTCTATTAAAAGATTAACACAACGCTCTCACTTAGAAATGACGTAATTGACATGAATACTATAAATTCCTGACTATTTAGAAATTATAGATAAACAAAAACTTACTTTCTTGATATCGTCAAGTGTATGAATTTCTGGCGATAAACCACCGTGAATACAAAGAATTTTTTTATTAATTAATGCTGCTAATGGTAATGAATCAAACGCATTCATACAAGCATCGTATATACGTTCCGAATATTTTATGTTGCCTGAAAAATAAAATAGTATTATAAACAGTCGTTTTAAAAAAACGGTATACTCAAATATTTTCTCTGACATATTTTCCTGCACGAAACAAATCATAAAACTTTTTTCTCAAAGATCTTTTGAAAGTTGGGACATAACACAAAAAATTTTAGTTTTATTTCAAGAACATAGTGTTCAAAGTATCGCTGCCAAAAGATCTAAGATTTTGCCACAGATTCTTCGTACACTTCGAACTACACTATGACTAAAACATTTGATACATAAATCTCTTCACCCAATAGAAGACCAACACGATCGTCTATTTTAGCAATCGACTCAAGTTTTTGTCAAAAAATTATGTGGACGACCTCAGAAGAAGATTAATAGTAGTGCTCTTCTATTATGAGAGTGGGAGTATATTTTGATGTTATGAAGTATTTTGAACACATTTTTAGCGAGTTTAGAATATTTCGATTTTATATGAAAAAAGATCGAAACGAGTTCTTTTACATACAGTAGATTTACACTAAGGTTAAACACTTAAAAATCACAAGATAGATAGATCCCTCCAAAAGAAGAACTTTCGGTTCAAGAAGATGCTTGTAGGTTTTCTCTATAAAACGACAAAACTATAAACTTTTTAGGTCGTTCCAGAGTTATTCAAAAGCGCTTGATGTCACTGCTTTTTTTCGAAAATAGTACAGAACAATAGGAATCTTTATTATTCCTTCTTCTCTTCTCAATTCTGTTGGCTATTACAGCTGCGTGATCAAGAGAACCCGTAGAAGTACAAAAATTTTTCGCTGTTTTGGATAAAAAGAAAACATTCACAACAGAGAACCTATGAAATGGTTTGTTCTCTTCATCTCTATTGCCTTACATCAACATACAAGGAGCTAGAGTAGAAGCAAAAAAACAACAACAGCATATCTCGTGGGACACATCGACATTTTCACGAACGACATGAGACCTCAGTAAAGTTTTGTGGTGAATAGTCATTATGTGATACAGTTACAGATATACCGTTTCGCATCACAAAAATATGTTTTGTGTGAGACTACTATTCGAACTCACTCTCACACTAGCAGTACCCACCTCCCGCGACATATAGCCAAAAATACCCAAATGTGTGCTATAAAATATTCGTGGAAGGATCGGGATCCTGTTCCCGAAAATGTCGTGTCACGACTTCAAGGATGATAAGATCATTTCGATTTATCTAACTAGCTCATGAGAACACCGCATTTTATAACGTTTCTTATGCGAAAGCTTTTGAATTTTAGAGCGTTATCGGTCAGATATATATTTTATTTGACTCTAGCCCTTCCCGTATATTTTTTATCTTATTAATCATCCACTGCTTAACTTCGCAAACAGATATTGCACAATTTTACCTTTTTCTTATTTTTCTCTCTATTATAGCCGACGTTGCATCGTTCCAGACTTATGATAATGATACTTACACTCTGTTTTAAATGTAAAATATTCTGTTAAATGGCGACATTCATGATTTCCACGTAATAAAAACAATGTTGTTGGATAATGTATTTTCAATGACCATAAATAAAGTACGCATTCAATTGAAAAACAGCCTCTGTCAACATAATCACCTAGAAATAAATATTGAGTTGTTTCTGGTGGTCCTAAAATCATTAAAATATAATAGTATTGATATCTGAATGAATAATATAAGACAATAAATACTTACCACCAATTTCAAATAGTTTCATAAGATCATAAAATTGTCCATGAATATCACCACAAACTGTTATCGGTAGTTTAAGATTTTCAAGTAATGTTTCCTCATTTCCTAATAATCTTTCCCCATTTTCAATAATTAATAATGCAGTATCTTCTTCTAAACGTCCCTCTTTAAATAAATGTTCGCGTAATAATTCTAGTCGAGGTTTAGATGTTTCTGTATCAAATAACTGATCGATTGTTAAACGATTGCTGATAATGGTAGACATTGTTCATATTTCTTATACTTTTCTTGATATTTTGATGATGGTTGTCGTTATTTTGTATTATTTGTTGATATTTTTTTTTTTTGCTTTATTTTTTTTTTCTGTTTGTTTTCCGTTTTTTCTATTTTCAATTATTACTGAAAATTTCTATCTACATTGACTCGACTCTTATCTTTATTTTTGTATTACATGAAATAAATCTAATCTTTTTTCTTTTTCTTCCCTTTCTCAATCCATTATCAATTATCTTTCTAATAGATATCCATCGACAATAATATTTATTCCCCTGAATATAATAAGAGAAGAATCCATAAAATATAAAAATGTCTGTATGTATTCTACATGTGTAACTCAACAATACTATGAAGGTTGTTATAGAATAGAACAAAAAACGATATCAAGTAAACAAATAAAGAGGAAAAACACAATAAATAGCAAGAAACCATATACAGTTTCGAGAACACAACTGTTTAGATTCTGTTAGATTCAGTCTCAATATATCTTTTATGAATAGAATATTGTCCCCACGTTTTACGATATTTATAGCTAAGAAATTTTATCACTTAGATTTAGTGATAACGTTTATAATTCATATGAAAATGAACTCTTATAAAAAGATAACTTCCGATGCTCCAAGTAGTACGTATCAATCAATAAAGTTTGACGTAGCGGGTCAGGCGATATGTGTACTTACTGAGAGTAATTAATACACGTACACATTTTTGATTCAACTCTTATTTCTTCCTGCTCTTAAAGGAAAATGAATCTAATTTCAGCACTTTATCACATAAAAAACTGCGTTAAAGGAAGCGGGACAAAAAACTAAGATATCATATGTGGATAGATTGAAGAAAATCAAATATTTAATGACATGTTTTGAGTACTACTGGAGAAAAAACTCCAGGATATTTTATATGTGAACCATAAGTCTGCTGAATACTTCTTTCCCATTGTTTGAATCATAACTCGATATCTTGTGGTGAAGTGTAATCAGTAATGCAACTATGAGAGGGCATGGAACATTGGGTCCCGTCTCAATAAGATTTGAGGGTTGGCCAAATAGAAGAAAGATTTTGAGTACTCTGTTCCAAGGACTCGTTTTGAAGGTATGAATCGAGTAGTTCTATAGTCGATTTATACCTATTTATTCTCTGCTGGTACTCCAACAAGTGATTCTTTTTGTCTACTAGTTTTAAACAAAGTTGAACGGGCATCAAAGAGATTTGGGTCATAAAGCGAGAAAAAAATATACTTGTGCATTTAACTACATATACATATACTCTTTTTCTTCTATGTTTAACAAAGCCGATAATTTTTTCCTTGTAAAAAACATAGATGAGTGATGAGAAAGGGATGTGACACAGCTACGCTCTTAATATAAAAATTTCTCGTTACACTTGAAATAGTACTACTCGCAATACCTGAATTAAGCAATAAAGTTATTTATGCAAAAGGATCAGGAAGAAAATATGCAGACTGTTTAGCCATGGTCAGAAGAAATAGAAAAATCACACTGTCAACTTAGCAATAAATAAATGAATTTCTGCTGAAGTAGAAAAGCCTCGATCCACCTGAACCCATCGATGTTTTTTGTTTATTTACTACAGTAGCAATGTTCTTATCCAAAATAGAGATCGACGACTGTTGAATATTTGAACTCAGCTTTAGTATCTCAGAAGAAAATGCTAATTGATACAACAGCTTGTTATATGTGATCGTAAGCGATCGTAACTTATGCTCCAATTTTTTATTGTTTATTAAAAGATTGGTCATGCTATAATGTGTTAAAATTGATGTACCCTAGTAGCATTCCTGCTTCGTTTCGCATTAACAATAAAGCTACATCTTACCGTGATCTTGGCAAGAAACTTGAAAGTTTTAGGATGTTCGCTACCGCGATCGCGCCTAATCATGATCGTTTTTCCGTGTAACGAAAATTCCTCTATCTTGACCAACGAGAATTTCTTGACAATCGCGTCCTGAGATCTCGGCAAAATCGTGATAAGCGACGATTCCGGCACTAAGTTGCGTTTATACTAAGCAAACTTTTTATGTGATACATCTGTTTCAGCTAACCTCTTCAGACAACTGTATTCTGTTGATTACATCATGTTTTACTCGGTCTTTTTGAGTTTTTATCTATAATTAGGTTGTTACTGTACATATTCTTAACCTACAAAGGAAAACAAATCATTTTGAACTCAGAATAGTTCAAAGTGGATGCACAACAAATGCGTCTTTCTGTTACTTCAACTTTAAATCCTTCTGTTATGTTTTGTCGCTCTATTGAGTTTCCTATCATATTTATTAAGCTATCTCTTCGTTGTATTTCTCAGTTTTGGTTTGTCATGTTGCTGGATTTTACTCTCAAAATAAAAGTGAGATTTAGACTAATGTGTCTTTGAATCACTTGTGAGTTTTACCGATAAGGTAACGTTTGTCGTGTGTGAATAAAACATGCGTGCTCGGACTATTAGAGAATGCTTATCTACAGATACTAGACGCTAATATCAGTTCGTTGCTAGAGCCAATCTAGCATCCTGTGAATGAGACGGTTTAGCTTCGCACGCAATCCTTTGTGTGTCAAACAGGACTGAACTGACTTTCGCTACATCCTGAAAGCCGTCGACGGCAAAATGATCTTACACCGAGAAACTCACGATTACAATGGCCGATCGCCTTGTGATGCACTTCTCAATTTCAGGCTTTTATTATTGAGATCTCCTAAGTCAACCTGATTAACTGAATCTACACAATGAAGAGTAGACCTTCGATGCGTCATCTGGTATAAAGACCTTTTTTATAACCCTCAAAACTCTTAATGAGATCCCATGTTGTCGAACCCGGACGAAAGCCGGCGGTTAATCACGGTTATTTTAAGAACCGATGGTTAACCGCGGTTATTTCAGCCGAAGCCATAGCGACACAGCAGAAAAGCTGACGGTTAACCTCACAATCAATCGGAAAACGGTCGGTTAATATATAGAAAGTTTTGATTTTTCTTCATCCTTCCTGTCAACTACTGTGCACTTACTCTGAAGCTAAATATTCAGAGAATTTAGCTTTTATGTTATTCTAATGATAGTTCAGTATAAAAACCCAGATAAAAGTAGGTAAAAAGTGAGAGTACAAATGAGCTTCATCTTCATCATGCGTTAAAAAACGAATGACCATGTAGACAACATGCATTTTTCTTTTCCTTCTCTTAATTTAATGAGATATCGGAGTTTCATTGTTTCATTAAAAGTTCATTAATAGGAAGTTCATTAAAATTTTTAATGAAGGTTTTGTGCCATCAAAAGCTCTACGTCACAGCCATTTTCCAGCAAACATTTTAATGAAAGTCCCAGTACTTTCAATAAAAAAATTTTTAATAAAAGTTCCGATACTTCCATTAAAAAAAACGTTTTAATGGAAGCTTTTTAATGAACCTGCCCCAATCCAATTTAAAAACAAATATATACATTTGATACACAAATACGTCTAATCTAATGGATGGTGCAAAACTCTTGCAATAAATGTCGCACATCATTTCTGCATGCTGTCAATGTGCTGAAGAGTTAATTATAATTATTAATAATGTTATGTAAGAGTTAAGAATAATGTTTCGTTGGAAAGAGCAAAGTCTGAACTTCAAATAAGATAGAAAACAAAATTTTTTGCGATCGATTTTAAGAAAGAGAACAGTTCGATACCAAACGTCGCTGAAAAAACTCTTGCAACGCCCTGTTTTTCTTTATTTTTCACTAGAGCCTGAAGAAAATTTTTTTGAGGGGTCGTAATGTGACTGGATGAAAGCAGAGGTTTGCCGAAAATCCATAGAAGAGCAAGCCAAAACATTCTGGGTTGACCGAAAACGTCGAAAGGAAAAATGTCGAAAAGGAAAATGTCGACAAAGAAAGAGCAAGACGTAGAAGAGGAAAATGTAGAAGAGCAAAATGCCGAAAAGGCAAACGTCGAAAGCGGATGATGGAAGAAGGAACATATCGAAAGGAAAACGCCGAAAAGGAGGAGATTTCTTCCTGTTCCTTGAAAATCACTGAATGAGAGATACGTATTATTATCATTAGAATTACTACTGCTTCTGATCAGACGTCCCCAAACTCGTAGTAATTATAGCCACTCGTCGAAAAAGTAAAGTATGATGAAGTTCAGTATGGCTGCTACGATGAACGCCTCATCCTCACCCCACCGGGGACATCAGCCCCAAAGCAATCAGGAAATACAGCAGCTTTTCAACAACGATTTGACACATTCAATGGATGATTTCTCAATAGAGAATTTAATGCAAAACAGCTACTGGCTGGATTATTGTTCTTGATCAGGATAAACGAAAAGTTAGTTCACGATCTATTGGTCCTATCATTTCTCTTCTACTCTCTTTCTCTACAATTTACATTTTTTTCTAGCAGAAGCTAATTTTTTCTTTGTGTTCTTGTCCTGGAGCATCCATAGTTTCGAAATCAGTCCGCCGCCGCTGTGGGGATCTAATATTTTCGAAATCTCCAATCAGCGTTAACTCACTAATTGTTATCGATATACTTTTCTCAACTAAAACATAAATTCGAGCCGACGTTTGGCAGTTTGAAATGAACATTATCTATTCTGTCAATAACAAAGTCAATCTTTTAAGCTTAATCACGGTTTCGCTAATGTCAATATTTAAGGGTACCCCTCCACCTCTTTTTTAACCTGTTGGAAACTAGGGAAGCCGATGTCAGATCGGGTTCTAATTTATACCAGAGATAGAACAGCGAAAAAGAAAATCGATATATTTTTGCCTAGAATTCTCGGTCTTGGTGGCAAATATCGAGAGAAACAATGTCGAAAAGGAAAATGTCGATAAAAAAAGAGCAAAATGTAGAAGAGCAAAATGCCGAAAAGGCAAACGTCGAAAGCGGATAATGGAAGAAGGAAAATATTGAAAGGAAAACGCCGAAAAGGAGGAGATTTCTTTCTGTTCCTTGAAAATCACTGAAAGAGATATTTTATTAAACTATTAAACTACATAGAGAAAGAGAGTAGAAGAGAAATGATAGGACCAATAGATCGTGAACTAACTTTTTGTTTATCCTGATCAAGAACAATAATCCGACCAGTAGCTGTTTTGCATTAAATTCTCTATTGAGAAATCATCCATTGAGCGTGCCTTTTCGGTATTTTGCTCTTCTACGTTTTGCTCTTTTTTTATCGACATTGTTTCTCTCGATATTTGCCACCAAGACCGAGAATTCTATGCAAAAATATATCGATTTTCTTTTTCGCTGTTCTATCTCTGGTATAAATTAGAACCCGATCTGACATCGGCTTCCCTAGTTTCCAACAGGTTAAAAAAGAGGTGGAGGGGTACCCTTAAATATT